AAGATTTACCATCTTGGAAGCCCAATAGAGGTCACAATGAGTTGGAATCAACTCTATGGCACTGGGTTTGTTTTTGCTTTTTGTTTTGTTTTGTTTTTGTTTTTGTTTTTGTTTTTAGTGCTCCAGTTGTTTAGAACTCTTCTGCTAACCAGAAGCTTGTTGGCTTGAACCCACCACATGCTGTGTGGGAGAAAGATATGGCAGTTGGCTTCCCTAAGATTACATACTTCAGGGTCACTATGAGTCACAATCAACTCCACTGCAGTGTTTTTTAAAGGATATATCTAAAAGAATATAAAGCAATCAGCAAGCGAACTGAGACGAGCAAGTGTATCCTCTCCAACTCCCCCACCAATCTGCAGCCTGCCTGCGTGCATCGCCACTTATGGTCATGATTAATAAGAAAATGGGAACCAAAGCAAAATAGATTGTGCACACTCTCAATCTCAGCCTCAAAAAGGAGCTGATAAAAGTGTGATTTTAGAGCAGAGAGACACAGACTTTAATACCTGACACACATGGGTGGAACATCACAAAACTCTTCACACTACAAAAAGAATCCAGTGTACAAAGTTCTAATTCAGAAGAAGACAAAAATATGTCCAGCTTATTGACTCTGCTCAATATTCTTCCTACTCATCATTTTCTTCTGCAAATTAACACCAAGTCTGATCACAATAATGATGAGAAGCAAGTATGAGTGGTCATTCATAAAATACCCTAAAGAAAAAAATTCAAAACTGCCACAGATTTATGATTAAAGATATTCTCACTGTGTTGGCTACAATTAAATTTATTTTTAATTAAACAGTTTATTTTGAGATAATTGTTGATTTATACACAGTTATAAGAAATAATAAAAGGAGTTCTGGAGTCAGTAGTGTTTAAGGCATTTTGACTGCTAACCAGCTCAAATCCACAAGCAGCTCCAGAGAGGGAAGATGGAGCAATCTACTTCCATAAAGATTTACTGCCTCAGAAACCCAATGGGGGTTTCTATGAGTCAGAAACAACTTGATGGCAGTGGCTTTGGTTTTTGTTTTTTATAAGAAATAATACATAGATCCTTTACTTTATTTTCCCCAGTGGTATCATCTCACAAAACTATAGTACATGTCTCAACCAGGACATTGATACACAAAATATAAAACAAAAAGTACAGAACATTTCCATAACCACAAAATTCCTCATATTGCATACCAAACGTGAATGATCAACACAGTGGCAGAGGAAGAGGAAGACATAGAGAGGTACATGGGAAGTACAGACAACAAAAAGATGAACCCTTTTGAATATACAGTACTGCATTGTCAGTGATGGCAAGAATTGATCTACAGGTGCATAGATAGGTGGACAGGCTGAACGATCAGGTTTGTCTAGGCAGGGGGGTAGTGTGCCCATGACCATGTATAGGGTTGGCAGATAATGTTTCTAAAAGCCTATTTGTATTTGCTGTAAGAATGCCTGAGTGTATTGTAGAGCTGAAGGGACAAGGTTGTGGTAGCGTCTTGGCCACAGCCAGCTATCTGGAGGGAACTAGTTGGACCTGTGGGATCAGGACTATGGTTGCAGGGCATATTAAATTCAATTGGCATAACATACTACAAAAAAATATTGTTCTACATTCTACTTTGGTGAGTAATGACTAGGATCTTAAAAGTTTGCAAGTGGCCTTCTAGATGCAACAATGGGTCTTTTCTTGTCCAGAGCAAAGAAGAATGAAGAAAATCAAAGACATATGGAAACAATTAGTCCAAGGGACTGGTAGACCATATGATCCTCAGCCTATATGACCAGGAGACCAGAAGAACTAGATGATGCCCAGCTATCACTGTCAACCAGTCAGAGGGGGATTGGTGCAGGAGATCCTGGATAGAGTGGGAGAACAATATGGAACAAAACTCAAAATCATTAAAAATAAAAAAAGTTTTGCTGGTCTGACAGAGCTTGGTGAGACCCCTGAGACTGGTCCCTAGCTACCCTGTAGGTCTGGAATTGAACTCAATCCTGTGGCTTTCAGCCAAATAACAGTCAGGCATATGGATTGAACATTTACATCAGGTAGATACATTCCTTAGAGAGATTAATCATGGTAGAACAGAAGGGCAGTGTTTGCTTGGGAGACAGCTTGAGGGGCAGGAGTGCATGAGAAGGAAGGACACAGGGAAGAGGTAACTACAGGGAGGAAGTAGGAAGAGAGCTGTTACATTGTAGGCAATTACAATCAATGTCATGAGACAAAATGTGTATGAACTACTGTATGGAAAATTAATTTACTCTGTAACCTTTCACCCAAATCACAATAATTTAAAAAAAAATCCTCATGTTGCACACCCAGTTCCCTTGCAACTTTCTCCCCTTAAGCCTTGGCAGCAATTTATTTAGTCTCTGTTTTTATAGTTTTTGTCAATTCAAAAATGTCATAAAAATGGAATTACAAGGTATGTAATCTTTTGGAATTAACTTTTAAAAAAAATAATAATAATAATTCTCTGAAGATTCAGCCAAGATTGAATTTACCAATAACACAGCTTATGCCAACAGCACTTTCTATCTTATTACAGAATGTCAAAGAGCATTCCATGGTATTAATGTACCACAGTGTTATGAATTGAATTGGGTTCTCCGAAAAGATACTTTTACATTGAACCCCTGTACCTATGTATAAGGAGCTCTGCTGGCACAGTGGTTAAGTGCTCAGCTGCTAACCAAAGTGGTTGAGTTCAAAACCAGCGGCCACTCCATGGGAGAAAAACCTAGCAGTCTGCTTTCATAAAGATAAAAGGCTTGCAAATCTTAAGGGGCAGTCCTACTCTGTCCTATAGGGTTCCTATTGCTGTAGAAACAACAAGGTACTTACCCCCTGTCACAAAGAGCCAATGATCACAACATGATGAAGTGGGAAAGCAAGGTTTTTGTTTTTGTTTTTGTTTTTGTTTTTGTTTTTGTTTTTGTTTTTGCTTTGGGTGCAAATTGAAAGCAAAAGTTTTACAGAGTATCAATACCCAAGAAGACAGAGAGAATCACTTCTCTAAAATGTCTGGCTCCTTGAGCAAAGGGATAAACATGATTATGTAGGGAGATGGGAAGGGGGTTGAAGATCCCTTTGACTGCCAGGAATGTCTTTATTCTTCTCTGATTACTCCGGATTCAGCTCCCTCTTCCCAGGGTAGTCTTGCTTCATAGACTATGGTTCTTAGCTGAAACCAGTCATGGGAGAGGGTTATGCTTAGAAGAATGTATAATTGAAAAATAACACATCGAAAGAACACAGCATCTGTAAAAAGGTTGGAATAAATAAAATATTTATTTAAAAGAAAGCAAAAGGGAGGGGAAAATGGCAAGTTAGTCACTATGATTAATGTTTCCTTTAATCATTCCTGCTAGTCTGTTAATGTTCTGCAATTATTAGTAAAAGGCCTCTTCAGTCTTCCACTTCAGACTTCCATACTATGAGTTAAAATTAACTCCACATTAACTGATTATTTTTTTCTTGTTTGTTTGTTTTCTTGTTTCTTTTGTACCTGTGAATGTGACTTTGTTTGGAGATATAGGGTCTTTCTTTGAAGACGTTATCAGTTAAATCATACGACAGTAAGGTGAGTCCTAGTCCCAACCCTTTTTGACTGGTATCTCAGACAAGAGAGAACAGACACAGAGAGAAACACACTCCAGGGGAAGATATCATGTGAAGACAAAACTATAAGCAGCAAAGGAACACCAAAGATTGCCAGAAGAATAAGAAACTAGAAAAGATGCATGGAAAGTTCCTCTCTCAAAGTTCACAGTAGGAATTGCCTTGAATAGTATTCTGATTTCAACTACTATTCTCATAAACTATATATAAATAAATTTCTGTTCCTTAAAGTCACCCATTTTATGGTATTTTTAAAGGCAAATTGGGAATCTATGAGTTTGATATGGGAGAGTGGGGTGATGCTCTAACAAATTCCTAAAAATGTGCGAGTGGTTTACAATAGATTATTGAGTAAAGGCTGGAATTGTTTTGATGTACTTTGAAAGGAAAAGCCTAGATTGTCAATCTCTCCCACCCATTGTGCTCTTCCCATAGTTATTGGCAAGCCCTACATCCAATTTCCCAGGCAATTCAGTTTCTTCCTGGGCCTTCTCTTGTATTTTCTCGGTCTGCTTGTCTAAATTTCCACCAACATTACCGTATCTTTATTACTGTGGCATTATAAGAAGTTTAATGTTGGGTAAGAAAAGTCCTCATGAGCAGTTAATTTTTGACAAAGGGCCAAATCCATTAAGTGGGAAAGAGATAGTCTCTTTAACAAATAGCACTGACAAAAGTGGTTATCCACTTGCCGAAAAATGAAATGATTCACACCTTGCACCATACACAAAAACTAACTAAAGATAGATCAAAGATCTAAATGTAAAATTTAAGACTATAAAGGTCATCAAAGAAAATATAGGGATAAACTTAGGGATACTAATTTATGGCAGGAATAGTCTATCAAACATAATGAAAAATGCAAAACAACAGGAAATAAACTAGACTCCTAAAAATTAAATATTTATTTGCATCAAAAGACTTCTCTAAATGAATCAAAAGAATCTACAGAAAGGGAAAACATGTGGCAACAATATATTTTATAAGAGATAATTTCTAAAATTTGTAGAAAACTTCAACTCTTCAACAACAGAAAGACAAAAAAAAAAAAAAAGCCAACTAAAAAATGGGAAGAAGACATGAACAGACACAGCACCAAAGAAGACATTAGGCAGTCATACAGAAATACTCATGATAATTAACCATGAGAGAGATGAAAATCAAAACTACAATGAGAGATTTTCTCATTGTAAGGTTGAGATAAGGAAGAGAAGGGACACAGAATGTAGAGCAAGGAAAACTTTATTCCACACTCCCGGGTGAGGTTCATGGGTCCCAGAAAGGGGCCAGAGAAGTCGCACTGCCCAGGTGAAAGAAAGGGTTTTTTATAGTGATTTTCTTCCTGTTTCTTAG